TTTAATATTTTAATTTTTGATTTTGAGAAAACAAAATTATTGTTTTGGTTAATTCGCGATAAGAATTAGATCTCTTTTCATCACTCAAAATAATAGACAATGGAAAACTAATGCTCCCATTTCATTTTCCGACCAACCAGTTGCAAAATTGTAATCATGTAATTGGTGGACTTTTCTGGTACGATATGGCTGGAATTACCATAAACAAAGAAGTTAAAAAAAATTAAAAAAATCTCGGTTGATACGGAAGATATCGCCACACGGTAGCTAGAATTTACATTAATAACAAGTTGTCTTGTAGAATAGCAGTGGACCACATTTCCCTTTTTGGTTTATCTATGAAATCATTACTTCAAGGAGTTGTTCATTGCCGCATATCTACTTGATTCCATACCGTCTCGATAAGGTTAAGCCGACAGTAAAACATCTATTTCTTCAATTCTGAATTTGTCATTCTCAGTTCAGTTTCTACTTTCAATTAAACTCTGAAGAAGTCAACAGATTGATTAACGAAACGTAAGCAAGTATTCAACAATAGCCGACACCAAAGGAATCCAGAAGATTTGTAAATTAACGTTCACACAAAAAACAGTGGTACTTTATATACAAGGAGCGTTCAGTTTTACCAAAAAATATTTATTTATTTATCAAAACTGATGTGGTTCCATCCAATGTGAAAATGTTTTTTCCGAAACAGTTCTGGTAAACACTTTCTGGAATAGCCTTGAGTTCTTCTATGGATTTTTTCCTTATACTTTTTTTGCTCAAAAAAGATTTACCATACGTCGATATCAACGTTTCAAGTAATTTGCAGCACTACAACGCTTCTGTCTCACAAGTAACATATGTTAAGGACAGGTGTACCAAGATATCGAAAAAAAATATCGAAGTCAGAATACACCTCGTATCCTGACTGCTGACTTAGTAGAAGTCCCAAATCATAGAACTATAGTCCTTGTATTTGATTTGCCTGCACCAAGGGTCTTTATTAGATTAGGAACATCGGTGCCATTAACAAGCGAACCACTTCACATTCCAACAAATATTCCATACATCACCAACATCACTACGGGTATCTTGATCTATTTCCGGTTCAGGAAACCTAGTGGTATCTTCTTCTAAATCGGCTTTATTTTCAGCATGAGGCACTGGCCTAATTGCAGTTTTGAAGTTCGGATAAACAATGTATTTCAATTTTTTAGTATTATATGCAAGAATATGCACATGTAGAAGTAGCAATCACCATGGCGAGTTGTTGGTTCTCTCCATATGATAGGTATTCCAAGGGCTGGGATCACCTGGTTGTTTTTAAAGCAGAAGTGTAATTTTACGTTTAAATTAAAATGACTACAAAAGAACCCCATACATATCAAAATGTGTCTGTAATATTTTTACCATGTCTTGGCATTGTAAAAAGAAATTTAACTAGGTCCAGCTCAATGACCTCACGAAACTGCCTCTACATAATTGGGAACCACAGAAACTATATTTTAGTTTCGATTCAAAGCTTCAGAACAACTTCTAGTGTTTTTAAAAAAATATATACGATTGTTTGTGGTCTATAATTGCTTACATGGATTCGTCAATAGGCAAAAACGACTAGACTCTTTAGTGCAACCTTGGTCTGACTATGCTTATCGCATTCCCGATATTAATTATTTCAATGCTTGATTCGAGTACATTGTTATAAAATGTTGACAATCGAGATTACATGAATCGTACGATTCAGATTGTTGTTGAAGATTAATCTAATTCTATGGTGGGAAAACCTAATTTTTCAGCGATCGAATCGTGTATCGAGAATTGGAACAATCGACTCAATGATCAATGCGCTTTCACTAAAAAACAATTCAACCATTCCTTCGGTATAATATCTACGGAATTTAAATAATCTCCAAAGACTACTACACGCTTTTTACACTAAAGCAAAAAAATGCTCATCAACACCGGGAAGACTAAATGATTAGTAATATCCAAAGAACTTATAAGATGAAATTTGAAAATCGATTCAAAGATAATAGAACAGGTAGTCTTATCAACGAAGTAAGCGAGCAAACAATGAAACGAGCAAAATCAAGATGCAGCAGAAACAACAGTAGATACAAATGGAACTCTACAAATGAATGAGAACAGTTGAAATAAAAATATTAAAAATTTTACGGAGTCAGACAGTAGTGCGGAATACAAGACACTGGAAGGTGGGTGACGCAAAGACGAAGATTTTGGAACAAACAATAGAAAGGAAGATGGCAGACTCGTCAAGAACGCAAAAATGAACAACCTAGTAGAGAAAAGATCTCAAGGAAGACCGCCAAAACGGTGGAGTAGCCTACTAATATGGTACCCACGTTAGAAACATTTTATTATTTACAGAAAACATATATCCCTGTGGAATGTCTGTCTTAGTCAAACCAAAAGAAAGTAGGTGGAACGAGTAAATGAATACGACTTAAACCCACATTGGTCTCTTTTCGTACGGAGTCGAGAATTGTACTCGTTAGTGCTGGCAACGTATAAAATCAGACTAATATTACTCATTCTATATAAAATGTCAATTTTATTACTAATGAAAAAAAATAATTGGTGCAGCACAAAATGTATATTGAGCTGTGATAATTAGTTGTGGAATCCAGGACACTGAAAATAAATCTGTCCCGAAGGACGTAGCATTAAATAGTATATTATACGGTAAACGTGTTGCATACTATACTTTTTCTACGACTGTTAGTTTTTGGGTACAAAACTGCCGCATTTGGAGCGAAGCTAATCCTCAAGTGTATGTCGAAACACTGTTACATCCAGAAAAACTGACTGTTTGGTGTGCTTTATGGGCTGGTGGAATCATTGGTCCGTACTTCTTCAAAAACGATGATGACCAGAACGTTACAGTCAATGGTGATCGGTATAGAGCTATGATTACTATCTCTTTCATCCCTGAATTGAATAACTATGATGTTCAGGAGATGTGGTTTCAACAAGAAGGCGCAACATGTCACACAGCTCGTGCCACAATCGATTTATTGAAAGACACGTTTAGTGACCCCCTAATATCACGTTTTGGACCTGTGAATTGGCCTCCAAGATCTTGTGATTCAACACCGTTAGACTCCTTTCTGTGGGGCTATGTAAAGTCAGTGGTCTATGCGGATAAGCCACAAACGCTTGATCATTTGGAAGACAACATTCGCCGTATTATTGCCGATATACGGCCACAAATGTTGGAAAAAGTCATCGAAAATTGGACATCCAGATTGGACTAAATCCGCGCCAACCCTAGCGGTCATATGCCAGAAATTATATTTAAAATGTAATGCCACAAGATTATCTTTCGGATAAATAAAATTCATGTCAATCCAATACTCCATCGTTGTTTTATTGCAACTTAAAGTTCTATACATTAAAAAAAAACACCCCTTAGTATATTATGCTACAAATACGGTAAACAACATTTGATTCACGAGTCCATTTGACACGAGCGGAGCGAGTTTTTAATAAACGAGTGAGTTAAAAAGTTTAACGAACGTGTTGCATACTATACTTCTGCTAAGACCGTTAGTTTTTGGGTACATTTTTGGGCTTAGGGAATTGTCTCAAAAAACTTCTCCAAAAATTTAAAAGACATCGGACTTCCACCGAACATCGTGGAATACGGACAGAAGGCTGTCATACTACAGCCATGCCACATTGTTCGTAAATTTCTGAATTGAGTGGGAGGAATTGAACTGTTTTCTCGCCAGTTCAGAGAGCCTGCAGCAAGCAAAGCCTCAGGTGAAAACAGGCCAGTGAGAGCTGAGTATTCGTATAATAATAATAATAATAATAATCATAATAACAATAATAATAATAATGATGATGATAATAATAGTGATAGTACTTTATTTTCCATCAGATAACATTACAGGAAATATTAAATATAAATCAAATGATATATTTATAGAGGATTTAAAAACTAATTTTATATCTAATAACATTATTACCAAAAAAAAAGAACGAAGAAGAAAGAAAAGGTTAGGATGAACCGACGCCAATCGGAGTTGCCTAAGTATCGCTCGGAGGGCATCATAATATAAATCACGGTGCGATGATAATTTGTTGAACGTTATACACATATTGTAAATAGGGTTTTTAAAATGAGAAAGAAACGGTCAATTGATTTCGAAATATATAAACTTGTAGAGGAACGATACCGATTGCAAGTCTGCCTAAGCTCAGAGGCAGCACAGCGAACCTTCTCAGTAGAAGATCGTAATCAACTTTCCTTCCAGGACAGGAATTCTCCTCCCTGAATATTACATACAGTAACCTTCTCTGCAGTTTTATATTGCTGACCATACCACCGAGCCATAGTCAAGAGTGGACCTGACGTAACAGTCAAATAACAATTTAATATTACGCTTGCAATTTGAATTGCACTGTAAACCACATTACACTCGTAGATGTTAGGATGGATTTTATTTTTAGTACACCATTGATTGACAATATTAACGTTAATGAAGTGACACAGTTTCGACGATCAAAGATATATTGAACAGAAGTGGTCCAAGGTTAGAACCTTGAGGCACATCAGAAATATCAACCATCTGTCTACGGTTCTCCAGATAGGACTAAGTTTTGAGATGCAGGGAACATAACTTTGTTGATACGTGATCTTTTCGTTTAAAAACCATGTTGTTGAATTTGATCAAAGATAAATTAATCTAATAAAATTTCAAATATTTTCGAAAAATTGTCAGTATTACTTCTAAACTACTATTTAAAAGACCTTAATATTTCTAGATATAAATCAGTGTGTGTGTTTTAGTTGATGATGTTTACATTTGCTCTTTATTGAATCCATCTCATTTGTGAAATAAACTTATGTCTTTCTCAAGTCTTTCGATCACTTTATTCATATATCTTTCGAAATTTTCCAATTTTTCTAATACACTCAAGATAAAATTGGCAGCTGCTGATAATTGATATCGAGTGCCACTCACGGCAACTATAAATTCTCTTCCCGTACCCGCCGACAGTCACTGTTTCTAGAAGTACCCGGCAAACATGTTGCAAACCGCGTTGCAACTCCTAGCGAGCTACTACCTCCTCCAAGGAGCGGACAATTTTCAGAACCTGGGAGCGTCGGATCTTCCGACCATACCGGACACCTGGTTCGGACCTGGAGAAGCTAGGGCGGACAATGAAAGCATCGTCCCGTTCGAGGTGGACATTTCCTCCGATGTAAGTAAAATTGCAATAACTCAGTTGATGTTCCTGGTCAACAAAATCGCATTTTTAGATACTGGCAGATTTACAAAATCGCTTACTCAACGCCGTCCCTCTCCAACCGCCTCTCGAAGGAGCCAAGCAGTGGTACGGACTCAACACCAACGTTCTGCAGGATGTGGTGGACTACTGGAGTACGCAGTATAATTTTTCGAGCCGTCAAGAGTTCTTCAACCAGTACCCACACTACAAGACCGAAATCCAGGGCCTCAACATCCATTTTGTACATGTTAAGCCCGTGAATCCAGACGGCTTGAAAGTATTGCCCATCTTGTTAGCCCATGGGTGGCCCGGATCTTTCGTCGAATTTTACGAGATCATCCCGATATTGACTACGCCGCAAGAAGGTCTGTACCTATTACGAATGCGGGTAGTCGAGAGCTTTTTTCCGGTTTGCTAATACATACATGATGTAATTATCAGCGATGATGTAACACACCGAGTATTACACCATGTTGATACAAAGTTGCCACTTGAAAGCGCCATGAGTATTTGCCTAACCAATTGCTTAGCTTTGGGCGGCTGGCGACTCAACATGACGATTTTCATGACCGTTAACTTGTTACTTTCGAAAATCTATGAAACCGAATTTTTGGAAAGTTTCTGCGCTCTATATGTGTAACGGTAAGTCTTATGTGATCGCCGTTGGTGCAGAAATAATCACCGTCAAAAAAAATTTGTTTTCTTTGTCTCTCCGTTCTCCATTCTCCGTTCTAGTTTTTTGGTTTTTCCTGAATAACTTTTGAACCGTTGGAGATACAAAATTGAAATGTGCCTCCCTTTTAACCGTCCACGAGGCACATAAACTTATAAGAAATGGCCCTGATCCGACGCCAGTGTCCATTTTTTTTACGATTTTCGACTGTTTTTTAGACCTTGCCATTAAACACGGTAAGTGTCCGAAACTTGAAGCAATGGACTTCCTATTTGCATGTATGCAGCTTTGAACCTATTGAAAATGGGGGGGGGGGGGGGGGCTGGCGAAGTATTCTAAAAAAATTAGAAATCGCGGGTGCAAGAGTCTACAAAAAACGTTATTTTTCAAAAACTGTTTACGAGATCAAAAAAATTGTTGTACCAGAAGACGCAGAAGGTACGGCTCTATAAACTTTGTTTTTGACAATTTTTCAAAATATACAGGGTGCGCCACAAATTCAAAAAAACTGAAGAATACTTCCTCCTATTATTGAAAATTGGTTATAACTGAAAGACTATGATTCAGATCTCACTTTCATTTATATTGCGATATAGCCCGCATAGACAGAAAAAACTTTTGTATTTAAGGTTTTCACCTATTGTACAGGGTGTTCCCGTTTTTAAGTGCTAAATGAAAAATGTGTTAGGTGTCCTAAATTTGCAGATAACAACTTCAAATTTAGCAGTGAAGTAAAAATCCGTGTCCACATTTAAATGGTAGAAATTGGGCGCAATCCAATTTTACCAGGTATTTTTTAAAAATGTTTGAAACAATTTTTTTTGGTAATTTTAGCTTCCAGAAAAATATGTTTTCCTCCATAATCGTTCGCCCGATTGGCAAAATTTTTTAACCGGCAGACGCAGAAGATCCAGTGCAATAGCATTTATTTCGGGCATTTTTTCGATTATATACAGTGTTTTCAAATTATAGGCAAAAATCAAAGAGACCTAGAAAATTGTTTTTTTACAGAGTAAATTATTAGCCGCAAATCAAAAATCGTAAAAAATATGGTTCGTGCGACGCGCTACGAACTTGCCCTGCCCAGAAAGCAATCTTGTTTACTTAACAACCAACAACTTGTACCGTGGAGTTCTATGGATCTTTTTTTACTTAGGGGCTAATAATTCATTCATAATATACAACCTAATATTATGATGTTTTTTAACGAAACACCCTATTGCTTCTTCAGAGCTTAACAGGAACTGGCTCGCATTTTACTCTGTACCTGCTTATACCGGAACATAGGAAATCCAACGTAAATTTTTAGGGTTCGAAATATTGGCTGCCCCGTACATTTTATGGCAAAGTTGTGATAAAACTTTTTGAAGGGAGCGTACATGGGGCAGGAGAGCTCAAAACTTGACATAAATTCTCAAACGTAGTAAATATTTAAAAAATGACTAATTTCATATAAAAAAGTTGCCTATAAAAGAAATGTTATTCCAAAATCTATATATATATATATATATATATATATATATATATATATATATATATATATATATATATATATATATATATATATATATATATATATATATATATATATATATATATATATATATATATATATATATATATATATATATATATATATATATATATATATATATATATATATATATATATATATAGCGTCCAATATACACGGGAAAACTTTTACATTTCAGCATCCTAGCGTCCGTATGTATATTTTTCATTTAATGGGCAGATTTCTGAGCGTCCGAGCAACGTTGCCCGATTGATTGTGTATTAAAGTACATATAAATAGATATGGTCTTTAGAACACGCTTCTCCTTTTTAACATGACGGTGCACAGTCGAACGGGTATAAGGCGATTCATGTTTTCGCTATATTTTGAAAAATGTTTTGTTGCTAACTGTTTTATTTTTTTTTTATTTTTTTTTTGTGGATTTGGTAGTTTTTAAAGCTCTTTGCTAAACTTAATTTCTTTGTGTAGATGTTTTCTTTAACACGTCGCCCGGTTTTGGAAAGTAATTCTTGAATTTTTTGATTCTTGAATATGTTTGCCAGAAATATTGCACATGTATTTACGTTAGCCAGGCGCTGCTTGGACATAAACCTAACCAATAATAATAATAATTGAAAGCAAATACTATTATTAATTTTTCAAAGAAACTTCCACAGGCTACTGTAATACTTTCTACAAAACTTCTGGTTTCCTCCTGCGCCGGTTTTTGCTGAGTCGAACTTGCTGACGTTTCGCCAATCTTCCTGTTGGCTTCTTCAGGGATTGAGTGAAACTGGCTCGCATTTTACTCTGTACGTGTATATATATTGTTTGAGGGGGGCGGAGCTAAATGAGGGGCATGAACACCGTCTCGGATCACTGATTCCCATGTTGGTGACAGGTAAAGACCAGAGTCGCGGTTAAGATTCTATGGTTGTTTAGAGATTTGTTTGATTACATACAAGAATTCGCCAACAGCTGATGAATTTATTTGTCTTAGTCGTAAGGCTCTTTCGTGTTCTTTGAGCCAAGTTGATATTTTTCGTCCGGTTTCTCCAATGTATTCTTTGCCGCATATGCAACCCAGAAGTTTTGTAAAAAGTAAATACTAATGTTTAAATATTATTTTTTTAAATTGTTTACTAAGTTCTTGACAGTTGACTTATTTGCAGATCAATAAATTATGGTACCAAACTAAGAAAAACTGTTAATTTAGAAATTATGTAATATAATTTCAACTGGCCAACTGAGGCAATATTACTGTGTTGTTTGTGCTTAATGTTGGTCTAAAATGGGCCGATGTTAGTTATTTGGAATAATTAGAAGTTACTATTTTAGTTTAATTAAAAAAAATTATAAAGAACACAGACAACTGCGATGAAAACGGCATTCATTACTCGTTAAAATTAACATTTTCTTCAGAAGGCTATTTACAAATCTTCTAGATCCTTTCTGCATCTTTTGTTTATAAATAAAGCTAGCTGACGTTTCACCAATCATCCTGATGGCTTCCTCAGAGCTTAAGTGAAGCTTGCTCACATTCTATTCTGAACTCACTGATATACTGTTTGAGAGAGGCGGAGCTACAAGAGTGACATGAACATTGTCTCGGATTTCCATATTGTTGAAAATCAGAGTCGCGGTTAAGATTGTTTGGTTGTTTAGAGATTTCTATGAATTTTCGGATATTTCCCTGGTAGAAGAATCGATTACATTGATTAATTTTTAATTTGATCGAATGAGATTTCGGTGTCATTATTGTTTTCGGCAACTGCTTATGACTCTATTTGTCATAGTCGTATATTTTTTGTTCTGTTTCTCTGGTTAGTTTTGACATAGCTCTTTCAGATATATTGCAATTCGGGAATCTGGAATCAAACATATTCAAGCAAATTGAAAAATGCTTGTCTGGAACATATTTTTCTTGTAACGGTCAAATTTATGAACAGGACCAGCTGTGAGATCTCCAGAATGGTTGGCGAAACGTCAGAAAGTTCGATTTATCAACCACCGACGCAGGTAGAATGCAGAATATTTGTAAATAGTCTTACATTATTCTGTGAAAGTTTCCTTTAAAAAAAAATCTTCAGAAATCTTTGCTAAACAAGTTTGATAAACGCCATATTAGTTTATTTGGCACGAATGGAGCGAGTGCTTAATAAATGAGTGAAAGAAGAAGTTTACAAGGTGTTGCATACTATATGCGTGTACCTTGACCATCAGAATCGACAAACCAAAGCACTGGCTAATATTTCACCGGAAATATCCGCAGTGGCTCGCAACCCTACGTAACGTCTTTAAGCCACACTGTATAATGCGTATTTTAGAGCAGGAATGTAAAAGGGGGATTTTTTTAAATCAATTTGGGAAAAAAATTTAGATGATATCCAAGGAACTAAAGAGACACTTTTTATCCCGAGGCAAAACTTTATAGAGAATATGTCGAAAATCACCTAAAAAGATACTTTATTTCAGAGGTTCATTGTTAGGATTTAAGTTTAGGTACATTAAAAAAAGTAATATTGTTCAGTGGCAGTGGTGATACATTATTGTACTTTACTTTTCATCCCTCACATTCCTTGTTTAACTTCATTTTTATTTATATCTTAGGGCACAACGAAGAAAAATAACTATTAAAAAGAACACTTTTATCGAATAACTTTTATCAAAGTTCATTTCAAAATAATAATTTTTACTAAAATATAGAAATGTTACTTTTCACATTTATTTTGGTTTGATTAAAAGCAAAAGTCAACAACTTAAATCGTTCAATAAAATAGTTCTTATATGTTGCGTACTTTAATAGGCGACCTATTAATATTAATGAAATATTATTAGACGATAAAATCAAAATATTTTATTACCTAATTATTTAGATAAGTATTTAGCAAATGATATTTTAATTTGCAAATTCCAACAACTTCTTTTCCTATTGCATTAAACAACCATTTATGTTCAATATTTCTATAATATAAATATTTATATTCGATATTTTTAATATTTCGAACACCGTTCTAATTAGCATTTAGCAGAAATTATCGGAAGAAAGTAATAAATCTAAAAATGTGCCCAAAAATTAAAAAGATTCAGAAGTTATTGCATAGTATTCTCATATAAAAAACCAAAACTTGTTGGTGCCATTTTGTTTAATTAAAACATTTTAATAATGTTGCTTCATGGATCTGAAGATTATATAATGCAATAATAATAAAATAATCGAAAAATAGCAATTTTTGCAACTAAATAAAAAATATAATTTTTTTTAAGTGATCGAGGATGGCTCGGTTGGTAAGTCGTTAGACCTGCCAACTCGACTTGCAGTAGAAGTTGTTGGTTCGATTCCCACCTGGAGTCTTGGGTGTTGTTATTGCGTTTGTTGTCCGACTTTAACGACTGACTTCAATCTAGTCAGGCTTCTAAGTAAAGACAGACGCGAGTTCATTGAATTAAGGTAAAAAAAATGCAACCGGCGGACAAGTAGTTGAAAAAAGAATAACTTTATGCAATGAGCGGATTTTCTCACGAAGAGAGCAAGCGAAACAAAAGAGTTTGGCGACGTGTCACAGAATGTTGTTTTAAATTCTAATATCATATAAAGCGTACGGCATTGGCAACAGGATATAAATATGATTTTTGTAAATTTTGAATTCTTTACCACACATTCCGAAAATAAACTTTTATTAATTATTTAATTTTTTAATAGAAAAAAAAAGTCTTGTGTATTGGTGTTACGTTTACGTTAATTCCAACTTAGCCTACTTCCGAATTCGTGGTAAAAAAATAAAATTCTTTATTTCCACCGTCTCTACATGCTCGAATTACGGAGCGCCAATCGAGTTCATTCAATATGAAAAACAAAACAACTAGGCGAAGCAGAGCCGTTACCCCACAATTTCGCGCCAGTCTGCAAAAGTTAATAGTGACAGTGTTGCCACGTAACAAAGGCGCAGAGGACGCCTGGAAATCGACGAGCTGAAAGTAGAATATATCTTGTAAAATATACAGAGACTGGGTCTCGCGCCTCTACCGGGTATACAGCTGAACTAACAATATACAAGAAAAATCAGTTTACTATGATCGTAGCGTCTTTGTGAAAATTTTAATTTAGACTACTTAGATCTTGTTTATACCGTTTCTATAGCGCTGCATCCGGGCGTCCATATATGGACGCCCGGTTGTAGACGGACGCTCGGAAAATAGCAAATTGTTAATGTATGGACGCTTGGAAGATAGTGGGATATATATATATATATATATATATATATATATATATATATATATATATATATATATATATATATATATATATATATATATATATATAAATATATATATAACATATACTGTTAATATTGAAATCATGAATATAATAATTATTATTAGTCATCATAATCATCACTATTATCATTAAAATCATGAATATAATAATTATTAGTCATCATAATCATCACTATCATCATTATCATTGCTGGAAGACGGTTAGATGTCATCACTACTAGCATCATTGTCTGAGTCCAATGGTTCTTCGATGTCAAGGTCTTCATTATCAGGTGGGGGTGTAGATACTAGTAAATTCAGAGCTTCCCTTGGCAAACGTTGATATTTTTTGGTCAATATCTTCTTCTTGCTCGTTATTACAGGATCTGAGCTCAATAAAAGTAAATTGAAAATATCCTCATTGGATTTTTTAAGGCTATTCTTCTCTATATCTTTTAAAATCTTTGTTTCGCGCTTCTTGAGCCTCTTCGGTTAATTGGCCAATGGGTAGTAAAGCATGGGCTATTATTTCGGGCCCATGAATGAGGAATTTGTGGACTGTGGGGGGCATGTGGTACCAGGGGTACTTCTGCGCAAAAAGTCTTGCAGTATCATGTGCGAATTCTCGGAACTTGTCGACATTTATTTGTTGACCAATAGAAACTACTGTTAATATTGTATGCATGAACCTGATCAGGTTGATATCAATATTTGTAATTTCGGCAGAGAGCTCAGGGTTTTTGAAAAAGCGTCTAGTGGTATTCCCGTCATTCGAGTTGCCAAAACCGGGTTTAGGTCTATCAATGATTAAACCGGTTTTTTCTCTAAACAGCTTTTGACTCCTTGTTTTCGTTTCTGCAACTATCTCTTTATCATTTCCGCGGGCTTGCCACTTTTCAATTGGAAGTTTATATGATAAATGTAATAGACATTCAAAAAAACGGATCCAACCGTGTAACACTGATATCCCGAATTGCAGGTTTTCTGTTTTTATTTCTCTGTTTACCATTTTGTCAATTGAATTGAATTCTTGCGATCTTGCTCCGCAAATATAGAATTGTTGTGTAGATGAGGTCTCTGTTAAGGCCTTACATACTTTGACATCGATCATTGCTAAAGTAAGCCTATGAGCGACTGAAATTGATTTGCCCCCGAGAGATAAATCAGTGCTGCTTAGTGTATCTATTTCTTTATCCCCTCTACTTTTTTCAGCTAAAGACACTTGCGTTGATTCCTTAATGAATTCAACTTTCACAGGTCTACAGTATCGTGTGGATGATGGACAAGGATTCTGCCAGATCACTAATGGGTTCTTACTATCTAGATCGCATATAAAAACAGCTGAATCACTCGATTCAGATCCATATAATATAAGAACTATGACCTGAGCTTCCATCGAAAAACCACTTCGTAATTAAACAAAGCTTTTTTAGTTGTTCGTCATTGAGTAAATTGATATTACCTTGTATAGTCATCAATAGGCGTTCTGCAGTGTGGTTGAGCAAAGCTTGTAACTGAACTTCTGCTGATATCTCAGTTACTTTTATGTGCTCCTGATTTGGATAGCATTTTTTCTTTTCTGCTTGCACAACTTTATAAGAAGGAAATTTTTCGGGGTCGCACCTTCTAACTAAGCAATACTGGTGTCTTGACAACATGGCGTCCACCAATAAAGCTAGACCATTTTCACCTGATATTAGACGACATTTACTTTCTTCCATCTTCACGAACGCCTTTCTATATTTACTTGCCCGTTTTGGAGAAATTGACATGTCCTGCATTAATTTTGAGGCCTGTGTTTGTCCCGCTCCCCTTAAAGTCATCTGGGTTGCATACTTCAATTCCTCGCAAAACTTCGGTCTTTTTACGCTTGGTACGATCAGAGCTCTCTTCAAAGTTGATTTTTGGGCGACCCATTTGTTTTGGTGTTTTTATTGCATAATTTAGAAAAGAAATAGAAGTATCCAACCAATGTTGATTATTTTTTACAAATTTATCCTCCACCCTGCCTGCTTTCATCCATCTGCTCTTAAATTGTCACTTAAAATGGGACAATCTTTGATCAAGTTCTTTAAGATTCTCCTCAGGAGATTTTATACTTTCTCTAACATGCTCCCTCAAAACTTTTCTTCTACGTTTCTCTTTTCAGAACTTTTTAAAATATTGTAAAGTTCCCTCCGAACAATAAAAATAACAGCTGAGCTCGCACCTGCAAGTAATATCCGTACGAAAATATGTACTTTTCAGAAGCACCGACTTTGCCTATTTAAATGGTTATTTTAAACAAAAGTGCAAAAAGGTTGCAACATTTTAAAGCAGTCGAAAACACTAAGGCAAAAACGAACATACAACCTTCACGGCAAACAACTTTTGACTGAGCGTGGCAAGTAGATATAGCGCGCTATACAAACTCAAACTCGGTTCTTAATGCCTTTTTATCCCTTAAAGAGTTCTTGGATTGAATTTCATTTAAAGGACGGCTTAAGCAACAAGGAAGTTTCAAGGAACGACTATAAACTTGATCCACAAGTCTTTTGTTAGAAATAATTAATAATTAGAATAAAAAAACGACTACAAAAGAAAAACTATTTAAAATAAACATTAACAGTTAAACAATACCCTATTCGATCATAACAGTATATTATGCAATAAGCGCGGTAAACGGCATTTGACTCACGAGTTTATTCAACACGAGCGGAGCGTTTTTTATTTTATTAGCCGTTTTAATTATTTTATTACAAGCGTCATTAAATTGAGTGGTCTTGGACGCAAAAATGTCGCAATGTGTAAATTCTATTAAAGGTTAATCTTCAGATCAACAATAAATTTTTATTATAAAAATGACAAAAAATAAAATTTTATTTTTACTATGGAATAGTGCACCACCAGTAAAATCACTTTAAAACAATTATAAACTCAATTCAACTCAAGCCTAAAATAATTTTACATTGATTTATAACTATGTTTAAACATAATACGAAGCCTGTAAAGATGATTTATTAATCGGTATCATCAACAACTTTAATATATTGATGGCCTTGGCGGCCTGTATTCGAGTATTTGCTCTCGGAAGTAACAATTAAGCAAATATACCACTATTTTGTCGAATAACAAAATTTATGTGTTAGTGAATGAATGAAATGAAATATGAGTGATCAATGGCGCTGTCGTAATTTCCTGGCAAGAGCGAAAACAATATTAAAAAAAGGTTTATTAATAAAAAAGTAAAAGAATTTTAAATGGAAAAGAAGAAAATCCAAACTTAATAAAAAATCTGCGCTCTTTTTTGAGCCACGCTGTACACTTTAAAATAATTTTGAATTGTGCATCCTCTCAGCTTTGCAATTTTTGCTCTTACCATTTTCTCATAAGTTGTGAAACCAATGAGAAAATGAAGTTTACTTTATCTTTGACTTACCCTGTACAGGGTGGCTCAAATCAGACTCTCATCATTAGGATTTCGGAAACCGTAAGGTGTTCTTCAATAAAATGCCGTTTTTAATTTAAAAAATTCCGAAAATATTCGAATAAATACCGAAATTTTCGTTGTTCTAGGAAGAGATTTCGTTTTCGAAGTAATCGTACCGTCACTGCCCGGATTCGTATTCTCCGACGGAGCCGTTCGCCCAGGACTCGGGATACCTCAGGTGGCCCAGATTTTCAAAAAACTGATGGAAAGGATCGGTTTCGAAAAATTCTACTTGCAAGGAGGAGACGTGGGTTCCCAAGTAGTACAAAACTTGGCCACGTTGTTCCCGGACAGCGTCATAGGAGTTCATTCGAACTTGTTCCTGCCCACTACGCCACTCGCGATAATCAAGCTCGGAGTCGGAGCTATTTTCCCGCATCTGCTGCTGAGCGACCTAGAAATTCAGTACAACTACCCTCTGTCCAAAACGCTTCTTAGTCTGCTGGGAGAGACTGGTTTCATGCACATTCAATTCACCAAACCGGATACCATCGGTAAGTTACTGAGATCTAATTCTAAAGAGGTGTGGAGTTAACTCAAAAAATTGAATATTATAAAAAGCAAACAAACAACCTCCAACAAACCCTATTTTTTTCCACTTCCTCTGGTAGGGTCATTTGTTTCCGACCTAACAATGATAATCTCCTTGGAACTCTATACACGTCACACAGCAATACTCTGATCTGTCTAACCGGTCCAAATAGTACCCAGCTTTCACGAAGGTGATTGCCTCCTCACTTGACGACAATCTTGGCCCTCTGAGCGCAGTTTTCAGATGACGGAACAAGAAGAAGCAGTTCTGTCCTCAGCTTGCCGAGTAATGATAATGTAATGGTAATCGATTAAGATGACTTCATGGCTATCTGCTTTAGCAGTCGAAAACACAGTTTTCTCATAGTCTCTTGCTCACTGCTTTCACTGTACTTTCGATTCAGGCGTAAAACAAATATTTATTAGCTGTCCACTCACGAAAACACTCACATCGAGTGATTCACACGACTACTAACTAAACACCACTGGTCCAAAATGGCTGAAACTTTGGTGCGTAACTAGGATTACTAGCTTTTAGTAACTAGTGCCGCCATCTTCAGGGTGAGGTGGGAAACTTTTCATGTTATCCTCGTATGTTGAACAACTTAGAACTTCCGAACTTTTCTGAAATCACCGTTATCACTGACCAAGTTGAAGCTTCGTTTAAGTGTTAATAATAGAGTTCATCATATCATGGACAGACATTTTTTAAATTTAAATTTTTTTTCTTGTACTCTAGAAATAAGCCCAAGTCATACAACTTGCAAGAAAAAAACACTTTCGGGGGTAATGGAAAGCGAATAAGAGCATTTATCGATATTTACAGATTTTTGTTCCGAAATAATCGTGTAGCACATCCATTTATCGTTGTGAAAGCAGATGTAATGGACGATATCTTTAAGGATTATGCCTTGGATTTACTTGATTCTATCAGATTCTGTCATTTAAAAAATTCTCGTTTCAATTCTTCATCACGTAATGTACGGTGACGTGTCTTGTACATTCATTTCATCCTTTTTAAAAAGAGAATATGAAAAGTACTACTTACTTTTAGGCCATTGGATTAACGAGGGACTACTCCATTGTAGTATTTTGGGTCCCCTTCTATGTACTAATACTGATTTGACTAGATTTTACAATTCTGAAATTTTGTTGACTTTCTGCCCGAATACCGTTTCAGGTCGATTTAGATGGCTTGTATCGCCTCTAAATGGTAATAGTAATAATAATAAAAGCAATAATAATAATAACGATAACTTCAATAAATTCAGCAAAAACTTATCGCCTCGGTGTTAACGATATAAACAAAATACAAGAAAGAAGAAAAGAAGTAGAAGTAGCAAGATTCTGGAGTAATGTATGGAGTCAAATACAACAGCAAGCTCACTGGATACCGGCAGAAGAAAATAGAGTTTCGGAGGTACCACTTAAGGCCCCTATTATCAAGATCTGGAACTGGAAGGACCCAGGAGTGATTCAAGTTCAGGCATATTGGTGGCAGAATTTCTCTTGCACACACGATCGGTTAGCCTGCCAATTCGAGAACGCGATTAGAGACCCTTCTACAAATCCAAGTCATAACAAACACAAACCCGGGAACCAAAAAACTATAGGCCTATCACATATCTACCGGTGGTGTGCAAGCTACTTACATCTATAATAGAATGCAAGCCCGGCAGACATCTTAGTGAAAACAAGATTCTTTCAGAGCAGCTTGAACTGGGAGCAGAGGAAGTTAACGAGTGGCTCCTGATTGACTCTGCTACCAACGAACAAGCAGTGACAAGGAAAAGAAATATACCAACCGCTTCCTCATTAGTGGATTTTGAGAGTGTGGCTTAATATCAAGGCTGGCGGGAAACCAGCATTGAAATGCAGGCCAATGAAATTAAATAGTTTACGCGGAACATAAAAATATCTATATTAATATTTCAAGGGTTTACTGAAGCCCACTGCTATTCCACATCTACATTATCTCGAGAAAACCAAAAGTTACCTTTAATCATTTGCTATACATGGAGGATTTAAAAGTAAATTCAAGTATCAAAGAACAACTGCAAAGTGTACCAGAACTAGTGCAAAAATTTACAAAGGACATCCGAATGGAATTTGGAATAGAAAAATCTGCCATTATGCATGCGATTCAAGAATCTAATAACTTCAGATTAATGGGCAAAATGGAATTTCCAGCACTGCTGGAAAGGCCTTGGTATAAAGCAGGCGCTAACCGACGACAAAGCGAGGAGGATATTTTAAAATGGACCCAGACAGATTTGCAGCATTTAGATCGAAAAATAAGGACCCCAGAAAGTACTCTCCACTGAATCTGACTTCTGAAACTCCTACTGAAATAAAAAATGTCAGAAGAAGAATGGATAAATGAAGATAGGCAGCTGCTTTGCAAGGCAGTGAGGTTGACAAGGGGTTGTCCACCCTACCGAAGCAGAATTATTTATTCAAACAATTCAGGATCAGGGTATGGCACATCAAAGGAGCCAGAAACGGGAAGTTAGATAAGTATCAGGAATTGGCTCTGGAAATAAAAGGCCTGTATGGGCTAAGTTCGGTCAAAATTATATCAATATATAATTGAGAATCAGTTCCACAAATTTCTAAAGCAAGCTGAACTGTTGGCCTCGAAAACAATTATAGGTCTTGTCCAAAAAGCTCCAATTCTATCAGCATGCAGCACAGTTAGTTAAATAAAACCTTGACTAAGCCGAGTCCCTATTTACACCAAAACATATCAACCCAATTTGTTGGTTGGTTGGTCTTGGCACGTTTGTATTAATAATTGCTCAGTTAATATTTGCAATGTTTGACAGATGCCAGAGTATTATGCCCAAATCATGAGTTGTTGCAGTTGCAAACTTATACATACATATGGATTCATGAAAAATTCTTTTGAATAATTATATGTCTTTATTTTAATTGATTTTTATGGGACTTTGGCAAACTGCAAACAAAATTGCAGCTTTTTGTGTGTCGCTATAGCTAAGTTCGATATTTGGTAGCATGATATTTTGGAGAGAAAGAGCGGAATATAATTCATACCATGAATGAAGAAAAAATATTGAGAAAAAAAAATTTCAAACAAAAATATTCATTTTCCTTTCCTTAATGAAATAGCCCTCATAAACGGTCAAAATTTTTGAATTCAAGGTGTTCAACTATCGTACAAGGTGTTCAAGATCTCCTACCGATCACCGGGCGGGCAAATCTTCCACAACACTAGAACCGATTATTATAGCAATAAAATTTAGACAGCTGTTATTTCAGGTGCTGCTTTGAGAGACACTCCGGTGGGCCTGGCCGCCTATTTTCTGGAGAAATTTTCCACCGCCACCAACAAAAACTACAGGGATCTAGATGACGCAGGTTTGACGGAAAAGTTCACCTACGATCAGCTGCTCGACGATATCACCCTTCATTGGGTCACTAGATCCGAAACGACGGCGTTCAGGATATATAAAGAACTCCTCAGCTCCGACGATCTTGCTCTGAATCTGGCAGGGTGGGTAGAAATCTCAGCAAGCTTTATCTATATTGTAAACTGTATAAAGGTTCAATCGAACTCCCATGTTAAGGACTCAAAAATAATTATTTAGAAAATATTTGCAGCAGATGCAATGAGAACGATTCTGCTTGATTTTCCTGAGATCCAAAAAAAGGAAATACAATGAGAAGAGATGTGCAAGGAAATCAGATTTGGTCTCTGTTAAATCAGCGTCTTTTTAATTTTTACCAAACCAATTATTAGATTAGATTAACAGTTTGGAGAGCTAGCAGTCAGCCTGTCCGTCACTGCGACCCAGAGGATCTATTGTGATTCTCTCCATAACTATAGGGCTTTATCCAGGCTCGTCTCTCTAACCAGACTCCACAACTTCGATAATGGCTCCCTGGTATAGCTCTCTGCCTCTGGTTAGGCCTTCAGACAGAATCTACATTCTGTGTTTTCTTCCACTTCCATCAGACTTAGATGCCTCTTAAGCCTGCAGTGACCCGTCAGCAGACCTACCATTATGCTAAACCAATTATTAAGTAAATAGGCTAAGAAAAAACGTTGAAAATCATTTCTGACATTCTGAAATGGCCATCATGAAATTTGAAACACGTTTTCTGCAAAATTTTATTATATCAATGAATAGAAATGAGCACTGTTTTAAGGCTGAGACAAATTCAAATATTTTTTTCTCTAAAAGGAATGTTATCCCTGAAAATACGGAAATGTTGTTGCCAACCTTTCAAGATATTCAGATGTAGAGATCCGTTTTTCACTGGGTTGTTATGCTCTGTTTAGTCATTGACGTATCGAAGTTTTTGAGATATTTTCGTTTTGACGTTATATTTCTTTAGAACTTTCGTCGTCAGTGAGGCGTTGAATGTAAGGAAGGACAACAATATCATGTGTGGGTTCAGTGAATCCGACTGAGGTAGCTTTCCAGCTCTGTAAACCAGAAAGTTGGGAAACGATGATTTTTTGAATACGAGATCAGTGATAAAAAGTATATTAGGGTGTATGGAATTTAAATGCCTAAGAAAATCTTCTAGGAAATAAAACACAAAACTATCAGTTTTCCCTGAAAACATGGAGATATTGCTAGAGAATATGTCGAAGAACCATTAGTTCGAAGGGGTAATCCTGGTTTATGAATCTATGAATCTTAAGCAGTCCATCGAAATGAGGAATTTTGAGGGGTGACAGACTTTTTCAAGGATTATAATAGAGAAGAAGCCATAATAACAGATATAGGGTTGCGTGCTATAGATAACGTAAGATCTTTTTTAAATTGGCGATAGGATCCGCCTGATTTTTTTCCTGATATTCACTTGTGTTCATGACCACCATAACATTTTCCTTTCTTCTAGAATTTCATTGTCGCGACTAGATTTTAGATTTTTGGAATATTTGATTCAGGTGGTGTGGATTTTTAAATAATTTTTTGCCGTTTCAAACCAAATTTCATTAGCTGTTTGAGACGGGATTTTGTTTAGGATATACTTGCCATTCGAAATTATTTTCTCTTTTGGGATAATACGTGGAGCAAGGGCGAAGTTGGAACTTTTTGCAGTGTTTGGAAGTTCAGAAGGGTTTGATGGGGATGATCGGAATCCCCTCCTTGTGTTTCTTAGCAAGCTCATGTAATGAAGATATTTTGTGATTCATGAGCTAATAATCTAACATCATTCACCTTTTGGGCCTTTTGGTTTTAGTAAAGAAATATTGCAAGTGACTTTGGAATGACTAAAGCTGAAGTTGTTACGTCAATTGGAGTTAAGCAGAATGATTATTTCAGACCTCAGAATATTTTTATCTGAAACCTTTGTACACGGAATGATATTATCATCCTCTCCTTGGCAATCAAAAGTTACTTAAATCGTTATGGAAACTGACGTCAAAACTAGTTCCTCACGCTGCGTTCTACCAAGTTATCCCACAAATAAAATCAACGTAGTTTCCATCGCTATTCAAACAATGTATAATTAAAGTTAAGATTATTTTTCTAAATCAGGGGAATGTTCTTTGAAGTGTGAGATTTGTAATGCAGTTTATTTCGGATAGTCTGTCAGCAAGGGTTCACGAACATCTTAGTTCGGTAAAAAAGTACAGGGACAGTGATGTGACAGATACCAAATTTGCTTTCGTAAAAAACTTGATCTTCTGAAGAAATTATAAATAAAAAGCCCACTGACACTTTTGGATCTGATGAGCACTAATATGGAAGATGTTACTGAGACTAATGTTTAAAATTTGAACATTGCCTACCATTTTTTAGTATACTTCGTTCGAGTCAACAAACATACTAAATCTGGAGGAGTTTGAATAAGTCCTTGTCACAATGTACTTTATTCAAGTAGTACTCGTGACGAAATCTTACTTCTCAATGACTATTATACTGACAAGCATACAACATTTTATATTTTGCTTTTGTGACCTCGTTAAAATCAAACGGATTCGTTCGCATTCGCGTGAATTTGAGTTGACATCCTTTTATGACCGTACATGTTCTTAAGTTTACTCAAAAAAATATATTATACTTTTAAAAATTTGCTTTATTGGTCTGATAATGTCCTTGTGGGAGAGACAAGTGATATTTTGTAAAGAACAATTTTGATTGCATCTTACAGATCTTACAGATTTGTGAAACGAGGCCCCTGCGAGTATAGACGATTCGGTTTATTTTAACCTAACTTCATTTGCAGAATTCCGACCGATGTGCCAGCCGGAGTGAGCCGTTTCCCCTACGAACTGACCTATCCGCCAAAGACGATTCTAAAAGATAAATTCCGCAACTTGGTTTACCTCAAAGACCATGAAGACGGAGGTCATTTCGCAGCACTCGAAGTACCGGAAGTATTCGCCACCGACTTGTACGAATTTGCGGAAGCCGTGGAGGCATTTTAATAGCAGATTTGGATAATATAAATGTGCAATGTTAAAGTTTTTTTGTGTTGCTCCTCGATATCAAGAGTCGAAAATGACTTTCTTGATAAATTTTCAATGATTGAAACTGATTTTCTTGTTACCTTGTAGAGACGATAATGATATTCCTAACCTCATCTGCTTAAAAAATTTCTTGTAAAGCTGGTTTCGCTTTACTTCGTGAATGAAATAGACCAATCTTTTGCCCATCAGAGTTTGATATCCTTTTGAAAATTCATTCATCACAAAGCTGCAAACTTCCTGTTTCCTTTATCCAGAATCGCATACAAAAAAATCAAAAAACTAACGTCAACACTAGTGAAACCATCAAACTCTTCTCAACTACCAAACACTCTGGTAAATGTATCATCGCGACAACTTTCTGAGATGGGAAAATCAGTGCCGCGCATATTATCCCAGAAAGGAAATCATTTTAAATGTCGAGTCTGTCCTAGACAAACTGCCATCTCAAACAACCAACGAAATTCGATTTAAAACCGCAAAAATTATATAAAGGAAATGCTACGGCGTTCATGAACAAATCATATCGTCAACACGGATCATATCGTCAACACAAAAAACATCCTACGCCATCTATGGATCGCAACCTTAAATTTGTTATTAAGCCTTCTTCTCTATCAGAATCCGTGAAAAAGTCTGTCACCCCTCATGACTCTAAAATTCCTCGTCTCTACAAACACCATAAGATTCATAAGAACGGATTACCCCTTCGACTTCTATAGCTGCTATAAATAACATCAGAACCAAAGGATATTCTGATTAGTTTCGATGTAGAATCCCTGTTTACTGAAGTTCCTATTCCTTGTATCCGAGAATCTGTGCGAGTATATTTATGGAAGCTGATGATGATGATGATACGTTGATGATACTCACGGTCAAGAATCCCTCCAAGATTTTCTTTGCTATTTAAATTCTATAGAACCTAAAATACGTTTTACTAATAAACCAAAGCTAATAATAATCTTGCATATTATTATCAATAGAAAATCGGATCTAACATAGGGTCATTCGGTATACCTACACACACAGACCGATGCCTTAATGCATTGTGACATCGTCAACCGGTTCAAAAATCATGGTTATCAACTCAATTAGAACTAGTTACATCCTTAATAATTTCGTTAGGAGAGATATTAAGCGTTCCATCAAGAAACATAATTCACCACAACCTTACAACCTTCGAAAGCAACCCCACACTTGCCACTGTTGTCCCTAGTTACATTCAAAACACCACTGACCACATTTAAAAAGTTCTTAAAAAATGTAACGTCAAATCTGTAAGGAACCAAACAATCTTAACCGCGACTCAGGTCTTTACCTGTCACCAATATGGAAATCAGTTATTCGAGACGATGTTTATAGCCTTCCATTAGCTCCGCCCCCCGTCGAATCATACAGAGGTACAGAGCAGAATGCGAACCAGTTCGATTCTCCAACAACCGACGCTGAGGAATCCAGGAGTTTCGTAAATAGTATCTCCATTTCTTTTCTGTTATATATGCGTAGTTCCTGTGCATTTAACAGCAACAAGATTTATATTTATTACAATATTTTGTATTTTAAGTCAGTAGTAGGGAATCGACGACGCTGGTCCTAAATCGGCCAAAATGAGCGTTATAGACATCAATCCAATTTAATTGGTAATTACAGATACAATCAATACAATATCTATACAATTCAAGGATTCGAAAGCATTTGGAATTTTTTTTTATGTTCTTAAGCTTATGACGTCTCACAGTGTAATCAAGACGAACTTTAAACATGAAATGGGACATAAGGTACCGTTTTCCCATCTCCATTCGACGTGGGCTCCCCTTCCTATATATATTCACTATAAAAATAAATATTATTCAAAATACGTGCACATTTCTTTTGTTGGTAACAAAAGAAATTAGTCCGCCCTCCCACATATTTCCACCACCAATTTGAAGGTTTGCGCACAATTCTGGGGACAGTTACAATCTCCCTCGCAACCTTTTCCTATACCATTGGAATTTCTGAATTTTGAGCAATTTTGGGCAGTCGATATGAAATTTTTCAACCCGAAAATGTTGCGCACTTCAAAGTGATGATCTTCCAAAATTTCAAATGTCCCTCCAGCTCAATGCACCCGAAACTTCCTCGTAGCACTATAATTTCTAAATTTTTGAGCAATGGGCGCTCATTATAATAATTTACGCACTCTCCTAGGGAAAGCCATGAGCTTCCAATGTTTCAAAATTCCCTCTCAAAATTCCACGTCAATCCAAATAAAAATGTCTTGTACCTTGCGTTCAATTTTTCATGATAACATTATAATTGTCTGTAACTCTTTTTGTTTTCAGAGATACCAAGTTACACAAAAAAACGAAATGTAGGGTTAGTAGCCTTTTTTTTTTCAATTGACGTATAAAACAAAACACTGTCAATTTGTATATCTGTTTAATAGAATATCTCGTTCCGATTACAATGATGTAACCCACTTCGCATTTCAGCCCACTCGTTTTTGACAAATCGGCAAAAATATGAAATATGTATATAATTTCAAAGAGTGCCCTGACTGACAAATAAAAATATGTTTATGTTTGACATATTAATAAACAACGTTTATGGTTAAATTATTCGTGAAAGAGTCATATGCTTCAGATAATGCATTAAATGCTAATAAGGTATGCCGGAATCATAAGGTTTTAAAAAGCACATTCAGTTTCCTATATTAATAGAGAGACGGTATTTCTAGGGGATCAATCTTCTCAGTTTTGAAAGAATATAAATATAATGCATTTAAATTTCGTTAAACTCAAAAGCTAAGTACAGAACAATGTCAACAAATAGATATAATGGACTTAAGAAGTAAAATAAAAACCCAGGGGTACCAATTAATTAATACGTGGTGTAGTAGATGGGCATATTTTGGGTCCGATATTTAGAGATCAAAAGTTAGCTGGAGACTTAGTGCACCAAATAGCACAAGATGCACCCCTGATTATATGGCTCCTCCTCACAATGTTGTCCAAGTTAACATGGAATATCCCAGGAGTTGTGTAGCAAACATTTCGAGGATTTCAGAGGCATCAATCAGTTAAAAGACAATCCGAAAATGTTACTAACTGCAAGACAGCACGAGAAATGTTTTCAGGAAAATGGTGGTTATTCTACTTTAATTTGTAAATAATTATTGTTGTTGCATTCAGCCACGGCACTCTTTGAAATTATATACAAATTTCCTATTTTTGCTGATTTGTCAAAAACGAAGTGGACTATAATGTAAAGTGACTTACATCATTACAGGGTGTTTCATTTTAAAAAAATATGATGATATCAGAAAATTGACAGTGTTTTGTTTTATACTTCACTTGAAATACCGTGATATACCTTGAAATCACCATTGGAATCTCTGGTTTCCAGGCAAACGATTTGAAATCATTAATTTTACTTAAAAAATGTGGGAAAAATTTCGTTTGGGTTGCGCAATCTCGAGCTAACCAACCGGATCAACATTTCCCTTGTTCGGCACTCTTCTCATTGGAAAGAATTTTCTGAATGTCGTCGAAAGACTTGCCGCTAGTTTCTGGAAGGAAACAATAAGCTAATACGAACCCGGCGGTACTAAACATCCCGAAAATAAGAAACGGGATGTAACCGGCCACGTAAGTCGTGATCAAATGAAATGACTTCGCCACGATAACGGCCAGAGATCCGTAATACAGCGTTAGAAAGCACAACGCAAGGGGTTTTACGTCGGGGGTGAAAATCTCGGAAATTACCAGCAGGGGTATGTTCCTCACGCCGATATTGAAGAAAATTACGTTCGCCAAAAGCAGCGTCACCAGGGCATAGTTCCCTACGTAACCGCTGGATCTTACGTAGAGAATTGTACCGAAGGCAAGCAGCGTGACAGCTGTTCCGCATAAGGAAACTAAAAACAACGACCTTCTTCCTACGACGTCCACTATCAACGAAGAAATTAGCGAGAAAACAAACTGAAGACAGAAGTAGAGTATCGTGGCCGCATCGGCCGATAGGATTTCGTCCATTTCCAAGAAAATCGACTTGCAGTAAAATATAATTGCGGTCGAACCTGACAGCTGCTGGATACCTCTCAACGCTACCGCTATAACTAACGCCTTTTTGGTCGTTGCGCGTCGGAGAGCGCCGATGGTGTTCGCATTACGTTCGCGACCGTCAAACGACTCGCAGCACGTTTGAAACTCCACCGGTTGGTGTCTGAAAAACGCGAAAGATCTCCTCGCCTCATCGTAGCGACGTTGAAGCATTAGAAACTCCGGACTCTCTGGCATCCACACGAAAAGCAGGGACATTACTAGCGGAAGGACGCACGATAGATACGCAGCTGTATCGATCGGAAAGTAGATGCCGAGAACGTTTATTAAAAGAATCCCCACCACGACGGACAGTGGGCAAATGGATGATATCGATCCTCTGACTTGGGTTTCCGAAATCTCCCCCAAGTACATCGGCACCATGGTAAAACTTATCCCACTTCCGATTCCGGCACACAGCCGGGCCGTGAATAAAACCGCTTTGCTTCTGGCAAGGGCGATGGCTATCCAGCCCGTAAACAATGGCAGACTGGATAGCAGGATCAGCGTTTTCCTTCCGAAAGTGTTGGCCAGGAGGTACGCGAGGATAGCCCCCACAGCAATGCCCGGAAATATGGCCACCGCTATCCAAGACGCTTCCTCGCCTGTGGCATGTATGTGATAACTTCCATTCGTCAGCACAGGCAGCGACGGAGATGGCCAGCCGAAATGCATCTCCGATGAGATTATGCCCATTGAACCTGCGGAGAGAGCAACATGATTTAGTAGCATTTCTAAATAGTTGGTTCATGGTTCCCAATTTCCATTTTCTTAATTCAGTAACATCAAATAGTCTGGTCCACATAGAATATTAGAAAAAAACAAACAATATATTATGTTTGTTGAAGTTGAGATTTTTGGAGAAGTGATAGATTTGCTTTTCACTTTATATTTCTTTTGGTATTCTGTGTTCAGTGGGTCAGGCTGAAATAGTTCTTACAGCTCGGTAAGCATGAGAGTTGATAGCCACTGATTTATGGGCTTGATGGTGATGTGATAATTCATTTAGGTATCCATCCGTCTGCCTAAGATTTCTGTGAACAGAATGACCCAATGTTAGGTCACTGAATTCAAAATTAAATCTCAACTCTATAATTTCCACATTACATTACAAAATACACTTCGTCATAACCTTCGAAATTCAATGAGTCCGAAAATAACCCCACACTTGCTATTGTTGTTCTTCTTTACATTCAAAACGTCACTGACCACATATCAAAAGTGATTAAGAAATATAACGTCAAAATCAAATTTACCTTTTTCTCAGAATAAATAAACCATAGTGATCCAGAGAAATAATTATGGATTATAGAATGTTTTCTAGCACGTCGTCATATTCATTCATCTATTTTGAGCACATTTTCCATTATTCCCAATCCATTGTTTATATGTCCTCTTGGAAGAGGGTTTCAACGTTCCTCACTTTAAAAGTGATATGACTTTCTATAGGGTTTAATTCGCAGTGATATGAAGCGATGTGGTGGACATAAGCACATCTTTCTGAAATTGCTTCATATTTAAAATGAACCAACTTTCGAAGCCGCCATTATCCGTGACAATAATAGACACAGAAGGGACAAGGTTGCTTTCGGAAAATGGGCGCTGCGTGGCGTATTTTAAAAAGAAAGAGCTTCGCGGTTTCTTGTGGTATCGTGCTTCTGCGGATCGATATGGAACTTTCTCAAAATCGATGTAATTTTATTGTGCATACACCATGCATAGAGTGTCTTTGTTGAGTTTTCAAATTTGTACAAATAATAAAAACGAAAATGTTTGGAATGTTTTTGATGTTTTTGCCTATAAACGACACACCCTGTATATGATTTTGTTTGTTTTGTTCATTCGAGTGGGTTTCAAGAAAATACTTGTTTTCTGAAACGTACTGCATACTTGGTAATTGTAAATGACGTTATCGCCTCTAGATTGGGGACGAGAATCAGCAATTTTCTTCTCTCTAGAACAAACTTGTTACTCTTGATACGGCCTATAACACTGTTTGAACCGATTTTTGAAGTTTCATTCCAAAAAACTACAACTTTCACAGTCTTTTAGATTTTTGTCCACAATTGAAAAACCCTGTATATAATCAAAAAAATGCCTAAAATAAAAGTCATAGCCCCGGATGTCTCACATTTTCCGGCTATAAAATTTTGCCGATCGGTTGAATGGTTTTTGAGAAAATCATGTTTTTCTGGAATTTTTCAAATTTTTGAAACAAATATTTGGTGACATTTCATTACGCTCAATTTCTACTTTTCAGATGTGTTTGAGACGTCTAGGACGTTTTAGAATATAGCACAGAATATTCCGAACACCCTGTACAATATATGAAAACCTTAAATACAACAGTTGTCATAACTGTCCATAGGGCTATATAGAAGTGAGAAAGAAAGTGACAATTATCAAAATAAAGGGAGCTCAATTTTCAGTTTTTTGCAAATTACCTACGCACCCTGTACATTTTTAAAAAATCATCAAGAATAAAGGGTTTTGAATGAGGGTTCGTTACGGAGCTAAGCCCTATATATCTGTCAAATTTCGGACACTTATCGTGTTTCATAGCAATGTCCAAAACAGTCGAAAATCCAAAAAAAAAGATGGATGCCTGGGTTTGATCAGACTCATTTTTTACTGGTTTGTGTAGCTCGTACACGGCTTAAAAGAAGCCAAATTTGAAGACCACGTTGCTAACCGTTCAAAAGATATAGTCAATTAATACCAGATCTACAGAGAAACGGAGAACGGAGAACAGAAAAAATTTTTTTTCGACGCTGATCATTTCTGTACCGATGGCGGTCCCCTAGGGCCTACCGTTGCCGAGATACACGTTTCGTTGCCAAGCGCGTATGCTTTCGAAAAATTCGATTTCATCGATTTTTCGAAAGTAACAAGATCTAACATTTGCTGGCAATTAGGCTTCAAAAACATCAGCAATCATGTCCATGGTCTTACGACAGAGTTAAGTCCGTTTTGATTGAAATTCTTGTACTCAACTGCAGACAAGTCAATTTTTGTTACCAATGTGAATAATTATAAATTGCTTACTTTTTTCTATAAAACCTTGCCTTTATTTAACAATTAGAACAACAGATGTTGAAAAATACCTTTCAATCGGCCTCGTAAATTCAAAAGTAAACTTTTTTTTCTACTCACTTTTCTGGGATTTTACCGCAGGGGTTTGGGAGCAATCGGAGATATTTCCCACGATTTAAATTTTGACGAAAACGTACCCAAAAATCTGCTCGCAAATCCATCCGTTGGTGCGGTAAATTCCCGGAAATGTCCGAAGTGGCTTAAATTAATTGGAAACGAAACTGGGGGGTAAAATGACGCTTCCCGCACGCTAGATCGGTGCACAATTAGGTATTTTACAGACGGGAATCAAAAAACTTTAATGTCACTCGCTCCGATCGTGTCAAAATAAACTCGTGAGTCAAGCACTTCCTGCATAGTATACTATTATATCTTTTATCTTTCATCTAATTACGACCTAAAATAGCGAAATTATATGCTTTAAAATCAAAGTCAAATTTTGTATTGAATCGTGATAACTGTATCTTGTGAACAATTTACACCCTGTATATGCCTGTTTGTCCCTCGACATTTTCTAATTGCTATTAAGCAGATACTTTCGACTTTCTCTATTAAAAGTGATTTGAGTTTCTTCGTAACGTTCTCTACAAATTCTCCTTTGTTTCTATTGTCGACTGTTCAGCTCTGCTCATTACGGTTCAAACTAACCAAAAATATTTTTGAAAACAGCAAAGAGTTTTAAACACATTGCGAATAATAATTTTCCTATTTTTAAAAAGTCAATTTCTCTGCCAACAACTGCCACTGCCACCATAATTCTAATTTAAATATATAGGCAGAAGTAGGTCATCGAGACTCTTGACAGTTCTACTAGACCTGTGGAATACGGATAAGACCACTAAGATTCACAGTATGCATTAAAAAGTAGACTAATAGGCTAGCGTACTGGTATATGAAAAATTCGCTTACCAGAAACGGCAGCAAAGTATTGGTAGAATAAACTCCCACAAGTGCTCGGAACGGCAAATTTCATTTTCCAGGGTACCGATCAGTAACACATTACGACTGCTTGATAGGAAGCCCATTAATAATCGATTGCATCAAAGTTTGCCGAAACAATGCTTTCGTTATCGGTGTGATGAAGCAATTCTGAAAAATTTTTCCGTTTTGTTGTAGTGGGACATTTTCTATACTTACGTAAAGGGCCTACGATTCGATTTCCTCTAATATACTCAGTGGCTCGAGAAGTATAATGGACGAAACCTATTTATAACTGTCAGTTATTCAATTTACCAAGTGCTTCTCCAGCATTCTTAACATTCTCTTAACAAGATTATAAAATTAGACAAATTGCGGAATTTGTCCAAAATACCGTTAGTTTTGGTATAAATCAGTATTGGTGCCAAGTATATAGTTGCACTATTCGTGGATTGGTGATTGGTGAGTGATGGTGAGAAACTAATAAACAGCAATGGAGTTCCTCAGGGCTCAGTCTTTGGCCCACACCTGCCCTGCCCGCTGGTGTTATCCTACGGATATGATAGGACAAAATAGAAACATCCGGTGGCCACCTCGAGGTCCAGAGCTTACCCCACTAGATATTTTTTGTGGGAGACAATCAAAAATATGGTATATAATGAAAGATGCACTACTGTAATGAACTACAAAGGTGTATTAGACAAGCTGTAGTACAACGAAATAACATCGATTTTGTTTCTAATGCTATGTACCATATTTATTTTATTAATTAAAAAATAATTAAAATTCTTTAAAATAATTAGGTATCAGTATTTCGAAAATCACTAGATTTAGATATATGACATATACGTTCTTTCTGGCCGGTTTCGAGACCTCTTCTACGGCGATGACGTCTGCTTTGTACGAGCTTTCCCGGAATCAAGACGTCATAGACAAACTCAGACAGGAAATAAATAGGGTTCTGCGAAAACACGACGGAGAAATAACTTAGGAAGCCGTTCAAGAGATGGCGCACTTGGAAAACGTCATCTATGGTAACTAAATATTGCGCTCTCTTGCAGCGTTCCCTTTGGCATTTTAGAAGAAAAAGTTTACCATAAAAGTAGTAGGATTTTAATGTATTAACTTGTGCCTAAAAAAAGAAGTAAATCAATTTTTTGGCAAAGTTATTCTAATATTAATGAACTCTATTTTAAAAGTGAGACAAATTCATATCTTCTTTATTAGATGCTTTTTACGATATCTCCAAAATGAAAATGGCAGACGACGCTCCAAGTGTAATAAACTTTCAGGACTTTTTCTGATATAACGACACAAAAAATAATTCCTATCACCTCGCTCATAACGCGTTTAATCTAGAAAAAGCCCTTTTTAATGAAGCCTGTTGCAATCCATGGGTTACCTACACTTATTTCCGGAAATGTTATTATTTTAATAAGCAAATTTATTTTCCACACATTAAAAGCAATTACAGAAAATATATAAAAAGAGAAATAATGAGAAGTCCAGTACAAAATACTGCTCTACTCTACTCTCGGCAGTTACAAGCTCTGCGTGTGAACCAAAAAAGAAGGAAACAATGTCACGAAATATACCACACATAAACCAAATTGGATTTAAATCATTTGTCCTACGAGAGCAGCGCCAAAATTTCCCTGCCTGAATATGAAAGAAACAAAGTAGAGTAACATTTTTTTATTATTTTTCAATATAATCCCCCTTAACTTCAATGCACTTATTACATCTCTTTATTAACAACTCAATCCCTTTTAAAATATGTTCTGCAAAATGAGCTAAAATAGCCTCTTTTAAGTTCTTTTTCAAATATCCTGGGGGCTGGGGGCCATATCTGGACTATAGGGGGGATGATCTATTTGTTGGAACCCACACTCTAAAATGGCAGCTTGTGCAACACCGGAAGTATGGACAGGTGCATTATCATGCAAAAGACGCACGCCTCTGGTCAGTTTTACACGTATACAGTCTCGAAATTTATGTAATAATGTTGCGTAATATTTACCATTGACAGTGGTATTAGTTAGTATCTTTAAAATCTTTCAAAAGAATTCCTTCACAATCCCAAAAGATCGTGGCCATCACCTTTTTTGTTGACTGGCAGACTCTGAATTTTTTTGGAGGTGCTTCAGCCTTACGACGCCACTCCATTGATTCTTTATTCGATAGAGTGTCATAATAGAATTTTTTTTTCGCAACCTACTAAGATATATATTTAAAAGAAGACAAAGTTTTATCGTGATATTGGAGCTGCATATATGTCAGGCCGGGAAATTTTGGCGCTAACCTCGAATAATATTTAATAATAAACTACACAAAATTCGAATAAGTAGTTTCTATCAAAGTTATCTTCACTTTTGACAATAATTCTAAAAATGTTAAAATAAAATAAAATAAAAATAAAATAAAATGTTAAAATAATTAGTTTAAAATCTTAAAACTGACATCGGTCCAGCACTTATCGGACACCCTGTATAAATAAAAGATAAATGATTTTAAAATTTAATTTAAACCATAAAATTTTTCTATAACCGTTTTTTTTTCTTCTAAAATCAGTAGTTCCCTAATAAAGTGCCCACCTTCTACATCATCGTCGGATTCAATATCAACGAAAAATAATTACACACTCTGCGCTTAGTATCTGTCTCAGATATATTTGTTTCTAAATTCTATTAAAAGATAAACGCGGTTAAGCAAATGACAATGTCCAACTTCTAATTGTTCTAACTACACTGAGTTCGGTATTCTTCATATGGGCGTACCCGATAATCTAACGACATAATGTTGGAAATTGTGCCAAAACAATTCCACCACGAAAACAAGGGCGCCCAGACCGCACCCGATGCCCAGCAATATGAAAGTACCCTGAAAATGCATGAACTTCAATTGCTTCTCCTTGACGTCCACTTCTCTCTTCGTTTCTGACAAGGTACCCCTGAAGCCGACCTCCTTAAACACAAAGTACCACTGGTCCAACTTGCTGAGGTACGGCGAGTGTTTGCTCACGAAAAACGCACCGAAACTCGGCGCAATCGATTTCGACAAGATGCGAAAATCGAAATGCGTGTTACACCAAGCGAAATGCTGAACTATGGCGTCCGCTTCGACGTACGGCATTATGTAGATGGCTCGGGCCCGGTTCTCCAACACCATTTTCCTTACCGCTTGCTTGCTAACTCGGGTAACCGATAAATCGATGGCGTTCGCCAAATTCGACATGTAAGTGTATACCGTAAAATTGCTCCTCCTTATATCGTCGATTGAGTGAATGCTGCCGGGCTCGTATTTGTCGGATAAAATGGCGCCCAGCAGAAGAGACTGGTAGACCACCCCCAAGGTCACGGTGATCAGCAACCAACTGCCAGTAATGAACGTTTTATGTCTTCTAAGTGGAGCGAAAGCTGCACCGATGCCAGCGACGAAGTAGCCGAACGTGTCCACCATGTGATTCCTTTCGTACGCAATCAGCTTGTCCAAGTACCGCAGGCCCACTACGAAAAACGGGATGATAATCAACACCTTGAAAGGTACGACGAAGAATATGTATTTCCAGGCGGGAATGATCTGCGATTTCGGCACCAAAGCCACGATGTTGTTGACCATGTGCGGGTACGAGAAGGAGACGTAGTCGGAAGCCAAATCGTAATTCCTCAGCACGTTCATGGCGACCGTGGTGATGTAAAAATCCCTTTTTCCGGACGAAAACGTTCGGATGGTCTCGAGGAGACTGATCGATGGACTGACGAGGGTGATGTTGATGGAAGCGTTCACGGCTCGCGAGAACCAATTCGAGAAGAGGTAGTTGAAATCCGGCCGCGATTGATTGGAGCTGCATACCTGGTTGATCGTGTTCTGGAGGATTACGATCTGCAATCTGTGCCCGTACAAATTTTTGAGTTTATCGGGGAACACGACGTAATCGTTCTTTATGTCCGGGACGCTTTGCGAAACGATTTTGTCGACGAAGGGTACATAATAAGCGACCTCGAGACTCCTGTTGAAGTAAACGACCGCGAAGTTGATCACCATGTTTCTCCATGCTTCCTTGAGTATGTTTTGCAAGGCGACGCGGTCCTCCAAAGGCGTGCACAGCACGAGCAAAAAGTGACCCCTGTTTTGAAAAAAACTCGACCGTACTATGTCTCCGAATTTACGGTTGAAAGTTTCTATGTGTTCAAGCGCTATCATCGTCAACGTGAGGCTCGTGTCGTTCAACGTGTACACTCCGTCGCGGGACACGTGCTTCGCGCAGTACGTAAACTCGAGCATCGGTTTGATGACGTCGTAGCATCGGAAACTGCCTCGGTGATACATGAAGTTGCACGTGTGAAATTTAGCGGTTGAATCTGTGGCTCTGGTTTTGGCGATGAACTGCATCACCTGCTGCGCGATAGGTGCCGAGTCGATCGGATAGACTGCTGGAAACTTGACCGGGCTTGCTTCGTAAAGGAGTAGAGTTATCAGAAACATAACTACAGAACGCGACATTGTCGTAAGCGCCTCGAGGGAGGAAGATGTGTCCGTCAGTAGGGAAATATTCCAATAGGAAGTTACCGCCGGGGGCGTCTAATTTGGGTACATTAAGCTTTCCCTCGCCATTAGCGATGACAAATGCACGTATAATTAGCAGATAGATTTCGTATACCACGTCGGCAATTCTTACCCTTGGTTAGTTTTTTCGTCGACCGATATCCATCACGGGAAACGCGATTAATATCGACGTGTCACGCGTCTGTACAGGGTGTTCCAAATTAGAGGGGGACTACTGAGATCTCTCAGAAATACGAAGTCGACTAATGATGATCAATTTCAAACTTTTTCCTGGCCTTGATTAAAAACGTTTTAAAAAAAAATGACTGCCACTGTTTCACTTCTATAAATTTTAAGTATAACGGTAATACAGACCTGCAATGTTTGTTTAATATTTTCGATGAGCTTGTCATTCCGAAAAAATTCATGTATCACACTTAATGATTTTCTATACAATACCCTGCCATACACTTTTCTTAAATTAAAAAAAAAACATTACCGGGAAAATAAAATATACTATTTACAGTTTTTCTGTTTCGGTTG